TGAGGAGCTGATGCCAGGGGCTTAAGTAGAAAGCAAATGTTTTGAGAATGATGAGGGCAACAAATGTACAAATGGGCTTGACACAATGGATATGTGTATGGACTGTGATAGGAGTTGTATGAGCCCCCAATAAAATGATTAAAAACAAAACAAAACATCTTACTCAAAACAAAACAACAACAACAAAATCCTTCCATGTCCAACTTGCTATTCAACCAATCTGGTGATTTTCCCACAACTGTATTTCACATTCTGAAATTTCCATTTGGTTCTTTTTCTAGTGTTTATTTCACTTTTGATATGTCCTGTAATTTATTATTATGACCATCTTTTTCTTTATAATCTTGAGTTGAATCACATTAACTTTTAACTGTTGGTCTCCATTAATTGACCCTTTCCTTTAGTTTAGAACACATTTTATGATTCTTCATATTCCCAGTAATTTTGAATTTTATTCTGGACATTATTGAAGATACTTTGTAGAGATTTTGAATTCTGCTGTGTTCCTGAAAAGAATATTGATTCTTCTTTTAAGAATCAAAAATTCTCCCTTCAAGGGAGACATCGGACCATGTAAGACATGACAAAATAATAATAATTTATAAATTATAAAGGGTTTGAGAGGGAGGGTGTTAGGGAGGGAGGGGAAAATGAGGAGCTGACACCAAGGGCTCAGGTAGACAGCAAATGTTTTCAGAATGATGATGGCAACAAATGTACAAATGTGCCTGACACAATGGATGGATGGATGGATTGTGATAAGAGTTGTATGAGCCCCCAATAAAATGATTTTTAAAAGAAAACACACGCAAAAAAAGATGGCTGCATCTCTATGAAAGCTGGGGTCAAAATCTACCTCACCCCTTCACAGACAGGTCTCAGCCAGATCTAAGAGCATATCACCAACTGGGCGAGCACCTCAGTCAACCCCAGGCCAGGGAGCAGTGTAAAAGTGGGGCTGTTTTGATACAGGATCAGGAGTTCAGGCTCTATGTTAAACACCCTAGACCACCCCTGAGCAAGAACAAACTAAAGGAACACCCGAGTCTCCTGAAGCTATGCCGCTTTCTGCTCGAGGCTGGGGTCCATCACTGTAGCTCAAGAAAGTGACAGTTAACTCAACAGAAGATTCTTTACCTTCTTACAAATACTCGACTCACCTCAAACCCGCCTCCACAAGACCACCACTGAGTGGATTCTGACTCTCAGCGGCCCTACTGGACAGAGCAGAAATGCCCTTTGGCTTTCTGAAATTTCCAGTCTTAGCACACAGACTCATCTTTCTCCCGAAGCAAGTGCTCTACTGTGGATCTTATTTTTTTTAATGTGGTGCCATCTAGCAAATTAGAGCCAAAAAGCTTCACATACTCAGCAACCATCAAAACGGGAGAAAGGACTTTACACATGAAGCACACAATGTTGTTTTTGACACTTACTTGCATATTTGCTCATAGCCTTGTGATGTGATCAAAACTTTCACGCTGGATTCATAGACATCGTTAATATTTGACCAATGCGCCTGTATCTGAGGGTCCTCAATGCGACTTGCTAAGCTGTCAATGGTTGCAGCAGTTCTTTACAGAAGTAAGAACAAAATTAAATCATGATTTAAATCATTCAATTTCAGAAGATTGAAAAATTTTAACAGCTTTTAAAAAATATGACCATTTGAACAGCCAGGGCTTTAGGTAAGTATATTTATAACTAAGAGAAAAAGAAACTTTTTGAAAGATTTGTTGTCTCTCTGCTAATCTATAAACTGCTACTCTTGAGATTATTAGTTCTGAAGGTAGTCATTTCCAAATCCCTTATTTATTTCACGGAATAATGAATTTTATAGTCAATCAGAAATTTGCAAGACTCTTGTCTTGTAAAAAAAACAGGGCAGAGAATCCAGAAAATAAAGCCTGTAACATAGTAAGGGAGAAAGGAAGGCAATTTCAATAGTCACTGCATTCATACCTGCTCCTCAGAAAAATATGCTTTGCTTGTTTAATGATCTTTTCCAGAAGCCCTTCACTTGATTGTAGTGAGCTGATTTCATTCTTATCAAAAGCTTGAGGCCCGGAAAGTCTCATTCTCTTGTGGCCAAAAGGTGCACTTGCAGGATGAGGCATCGTGATGGAGCTCAGGGTCTGTTTATGAAACTGTAACCAAAAAACCCCCTCATTTAATTTAACTTTGTTTTTCAAAAGTATCATAATTCACACATCGTACAATTCAATCCGTTTTGGAACATCTTCTGTGTTCTTGTACTCGTTCTTTGCTCGCTGTTTCCCCCCAACTCCCTTGCCATGGCCTCAAGGAATCATTCATTCAGTTGCCATTTCTATACATTTACCTATCCTGATTTCATACAGAAAGACACTTCAAAACAAAGCAACACAGATAAAAATGTCAATTGAAACAGGAGAAAGTAAACAGTAGAAAAAAGTTCATGGATCGTGAGGGAGATCAAATGATGCTGTGGTTCAAATAAACGACAGCCTCCTCACGGTCTTGAAATGGAGAAGAGTCTTTATTCCGCTGACTGGGCTACCGAGAAACGAAAGACATTTCCCTTCACAGCAGCCTGAGTGAACTTGTCAGTCCATCTTTAAGACCAACATCTGTCTAGGGTTCAAGCACGCTTGGACAGAAGTAGAAGGCAAGCTTAATGGATTAACTGTAACTTCAAGAAGAGTCTCCTGGGGAGGAGATGAGCCAGTCAGGGTGCGATGTAACA